AAAAAATAATTGAGAGATTCAACTCTTGCCCTGAAGAAGGTCATAACTGTTTGGGGCTAGGGGTGATGACTAAAAAATATTATTAGTCTCCATGAACAATATTTTCCCAATTACATATTATTTGGCATTATTCTCTGCATTGTATAGTATAGTTAAAACCCCATTAGAGGAAGGAAAATTCAGTGTAAGTCAGAAGCATTTCAGGTGGCCTTTTGATGAAGGTGGGACCTTAATCAAATATTGAAACATTGGTTAAGACATGGAAATGTGGGTGAGAAGAGATTTCTTGTGTAAGCAATAGTTTGAACAAAGACTTAGAAGAAAGAAGGACATTTAGAGTGTTTGGAGAGCAATGAGTCCTTCTCGGTCAACTCAGAGTCCATGGAGGCGAGATCAAGTTGGATATACAAGGTCTGTCCAGAAGGCATCCAGCCATGTAATGTGAAAAATAGGAACATTTATTGAAGAAGAAACAAGATACAAGAAACATTATACACAGAACAGTGATGCCTCAATCCCCTTCAAAGTAGGCACCTTGGGACCTCACACAGCTCTCCCAATCACCATCAGCTGCCCCATTTTTTTTTTCTGAATCTCGTCTACAGTCTGAAATCTCTTCCCTTTCAAAGGTGATTTTAGTTTTGGGAAAAGTAAAATTGCAGGGTGCCAAATCTGGGCTGTTGGTGGGGATGAATGAGTCTCCTGGGTGATTTGATGTTTCACCAAAAAACTCTGCACAAGATGGGATGCATGAGTGGGCACATTGTCATGATGAAGTTGCCAATCGCTAGTTGTCCATAGCTGAGGCCTTCTGAATCATCCAAATAGTTTCCATGGAGGACTGTTCAAGCTTAATGCAAAATTTGATGCAGATTCTTTGTTCACCTTGCTCAGTTATTTTGACTGTGACAGCCACACAGTACACATGCTCACTCAATTGAGTCTACCATCCCCACTGTCTAATACAGTGAAGTCATCATTGTTCACACATGTGCATTCCTTAGCTGCCAGGTTACATTAATGTCATGCAAACCGCTTTTGTTATATTAACAATGGTTGGACTTTCTCCCTGTAGTCCTTTTATAACATAAAGTCATGGGGGCTTGGAATGCCAGAACCAAGCACTCATAAAACAATAGTTAGCCACTGAAGGTTTCTAATTGAAGATGCATGCAATACCTCACAAAAGGCTGGCCTGAATGCCAGAGACTAGACAAGAAGTCAGAGTCTAAGAAATATAAAGCACAAAAAAAGAGGCCAAGTGATATGAGTGGAAAACATTAAGCCTGAGCATCAAGAACGTCTTGAAAGTGATGATATGCCTGCCCTGTCAGGAACCCCTCATAGTCCCACTTTTGTGTCAGGAGCTATTTCCAGGGTCCTAAGTGAGTACAAGTGAATATTCTAATGGAAATATGAATCAGTTAACCAAAATGCGGTTGCAGAATTTTGGATAAATCCTGATATAAATAAAGTGGAGTTTTAGAAAAATGAACCTGTCATTGTTATGGAGAAAGGATTAATACAGGATGAGGCCAGGTTTAGATGTGGCAGTAACTGAAACATAGTTGTAACAAATGAGTGAACTGATAGGGGCTTAGGCAAGGATTGTAATTGTAGGCATTGAGAGGAATGATACATAAGAAAAATAACTCAAAGTTATTGTGCCAGTAACTCAAAGAAATGTGCCATTGAAAGGTGACTGAGGTTTCAACACTGATAAAGATGCAGTAGCTGTACTATGGACAGAATAACAAGGGTTAGAACAGGAAGTTTTACATGAAGATGTCAGCATTTCCTGACTCAGTAGAGCTCAGCTAGAAAGAACATTTGTAGCACATGGCCAGTGGCTGATATATTGAATAATTAGGACCTCCACTAAATATCATGAAGATCTTTTCTTTTTCACATTACATTTTCTTTCAGTGGGTCTCAAAGTTCTGTGACAGATTTTTGGTAAAGTTATTTAGAAAAACTAGTAATTTTAAAACTGCCACACACACACAAATGGTCCACAAAATATTATTCTTTCTTTCTGAAGGTTTTAATGATGCATTGTAATCATTAACCAGCCTTTTACTATTAAGCTTAAGTGGCCAGTTGAGACAAACAGTTATGAAACTGTTCTTCCACCACTGACTAAGACTGGGTGGCAGATATTAGTGATAATAATTCATTTAGCCTTCTGAGATTTCTGGGCAGACTCGGTGACTTTGCCAGCTCCAGCGCCTTCTTGTCTATCGCTTTGATGACACCAGCAGCGACTGTCTCATGTCACAAACAGCAAAGCAGCCCAGAGGAGGATCGTCAGAGGAGCTCTCAACACACATGGGCTTGCCAGGAACCATATCAATTTTGGCAGCATCACCAGATTTCAGAACCTTTGGGCTGTCTTCCAGCTTTTTCCCAGAAGAATGATCAATGGTCTCCTTCAGCTCAGCAAATCTGTGAACTGTGTGACAACCCAGCACAGGTGTCCATCTGGCACTGATTTGGCCTGGATGGTTCACAATAATCACCTGAGCTGTGAAGCCAGCTGGTTCCATTGGTGGGTCATTTTTCTGTCACCAGACACATTGCCACAATGAACATCTTCAACAGACATTCTTGACATTGCAGCCAGCATTATCCTCAGGAAGGGCCTTGCTCCAAGCTTCATGGTGCATTTCAACAGACTTTACTTCAGTCGAAACGTTCATTGACTGGAGCAAAGGTGACCACCATGCTGGGTTTGAGGACATCAGTGCCCACAGGAACAGTACCAACATCACCAATTTTATAATCGTCTGGAGGGTCAGACGCAGGCGCTTGTCAGTTGGATGAATTCGTGGCAGGATGCAATCCAGAGCTTCAAGCCACAGGTTCCACTGGCATTGCCGTCTTTATGGGTGATTTTCCATCCCTTGAACAAAGGCATGTTAGCACTTGGCTCCAGCATGTTGTCACCATTCCAACTAGTAACTGACACAAATGCTACAGTGTCAGGATTGTAGCCAATTTTCTTATGGCAGATGCTGACTTCCTTGTATCTTTTCTGGCTATAGGGTGGCTCTGTGGAATCCATTTTGTATGCACCAACAATCAGCTGCTCACACCCAGTGTGTAAGCCAGAAGGGCATGCTCATGGGTCTGCCTGTTCTTGGAGATCATTGTTTCAAATTCAACACCCACAGCAACAATCAGGACAGCACAGTCACCCTGAGATGTCCCTGTAATTATGTTTTTGATAAAGTCTCTGTGTCCTGGGGCACCCATGATGGTCACACAATACTTGCTGGTCTCACATTTCCACAGGGAGATATCAGTGGTGTTACCACGCTCACCTTCAGCTTTCAGTTTATCCCAGACTCAGGCATGCGTGAAGGAGCCCTTCCCCGTCTCAGCAGCCTCCTTCTCAGAGTTTCCATGGTTCTTTTGTTGGTCCCACCACATTTGTAGATCAGATGGCTGGGAGTGGTGGACTTGCCGGAGTCCAAGTAGCCAATGGCAACAACGTTAATAGGAGTCTTTTCCTTTCCCATTTTGGCTTAAATTTAACAGGGGTTTTCACACATGTGTTCCAGAGGCGAAACCTAGAGCTTCATGGAGCGCTTTGAGTGAGATTTATTTTTGCCTTTGGCTTCTGACCACATCAGGATTTTATAGTAACTATTGACAGTTATTTTTTAAGGGATTCCCAATAATTATGGTACTACCTATTACTGCAATACTAGTAGAAATATGCTAAAACTCGGACAGGTAATACATGAGAATGGAAATAGTGTTTCAGTATATAAGTAGGTCACCTCTAGGTAATGCATTTGATAAAATGTTTCCTCCAAATTAGAGCTTTCTGCTCATTAGTTAGATATTATCTTTCAATGAGATCATGTCAGAAAAACAGATAAAATGGGTTGCAACATTTATTGGTCAGAATGAGTTAAAATAACAGTTTTCAGTTTGGAAAAAAAGTCAAATGAGATGTTAATACGAATCATTTATTTAATGTTTATTTTTTTTTAGCCTCACCCAAGGATACTTTTTTATTGCTTTCAATGAAAGAGGAAGTGGGAGAGAGAAAGAAAGAGGGGAATTGAACCCACGACCCTTTGGTCTAGGGACAATGCTCCCACCAACTGAGCCACACCAGCCAGGGCATGTTTATGGTTTTTAATTAGTTCACTTACCTAACATAGTAGGTCAGAAACTATATTAAGTGCTTTATATTTGATTTCATTAGTATATAATCCCATGAAATATATACTTTTATTATCCTCATTTTCCAGTTAAGGAAACTGCAGACAGAGGTTAAATTGCCTCAGATTATGCAAAGTGAACCACAGACTGAGCCCGGATTCCCACTCACATCTAGTGTGATTTTGAAGTCCTTATCCTTAACCACTGCACTGTGCTCGTCTCTTCTGGCTTGAAGCAGCAAACAAGATGATTGTGAATTTTAGTCCACCCACAAAAGAGATGATATCTGTTATGTGTGAAGAAATAATGGTTCATTTATGAAACATAGCACTGACTGTTTAGCAACCTATTTTCTCACACTTTTGGCAATGAATATCTTTATGTATTGAACTAGACTCAATAGAGTAAGAACCTAAATTTCTAGAAGTTGCATATAGACACATTATAAGCTTTTTGTTACTTTGATGACTTCATTTTGAGTCAGATGTTCTGTGAACATCTTAGCCTTCAGTTGACAATGTGGAAAGTTATTTTATAATTTTTCTAAAAAGTTAGTTATTAGAAAAACAAAATCTGAGACACAGTTTAAAAAATAATAAAACAAAGTATACCTTTGAAAAATCTTCTATACACTGAATAAAATTTAAAATAACTATATGGAATATATATTCATATGTGAATGATACTTTATGTGCATCTATTTCTAAATTTATGTTTCTATGTAGAAAGTGCATGCTAAAGAACTAAAATTTTGGATTTCTCTTCACCTACAAAATTAATGGAAAGCTGTTTGTTTGTTTGTTTGTTTGTTTGTTTTCTCGCAGCTGAATTTTTATTCCTCTTGTGGGGTGTTTATCTCTGCTACGCAGTGCGGACAGTCCCATCAGCATTTCACGAGCCACGCTACATGGCCGTTGCAGTTCACAATGAGCTGATCATCTCTGCTATATTCCATACAATTAGGCAAGTGATGTGTGGAGCTAGTAAATAGCTGTTTTATTTTTCTGATGTGTTGCAGTTCAATAGAATAGCAAGATTGGATAAGATGCATAATGGAGAGATTTAGGGAGGATGGTGTTTTATAAGTTGATTAATTTCTTCATCTTAGAAATGGCAAATAAATATAGTGTTTCCTTTTAACTTTACTGTTCTTAGTTTTTTTCTAATAGGTTGTTACTTTGAAGGTTAAACTCACTGTTATTGTATTACATTAAGCCACATATCGGATGTCATTGGATGTCATTTATGATATGTAATACTTCTCAGGATATAGATCAATACATACACTATAATATAAATATAAATTTCCACATTTTTCTTCATGTTTAATGTGCTGACTTATACTTTCAAAATTTTAGTACTCAGACCACATATGTGTGTGAATTCTGCTGAATTCAAAACCAAAATACACTTCAAACTGATGACTGCATTTTTGTGTGCACAGTGGGTTTTCTCGTGATCACATTTTACCAATAACATTTGGTAGTGAGACTGTATGGCCTGCCCTGCCATTTTTTGATGCCACGTGTATCTCTCTGGTCAGTGAGTGCAAAGGAAGAAGGTGGCTTATGGTAGGTGAACAAAATGAAATAGGTATGACTTATCTTCTGGGAATTTTCACCTGATTCCTATTTGGTTATTTGTGAAAACAACAACAACAAAAAGGAATACCATAATTTGAAAAACAACAAAAAGATGTCATTCAGTTTCCCAACATTATTAAAAGTTAGAACACACTTAAGAATGTAAGTAGAAACTTCACATATTTGTCTTTATTCTCAGTGGAAAGTGGACACTAATAATAGTGGGAGTCGGGGTTTGGAGATGGTTAATCTGTGGAAGTTTTGCAGGATAATTATCTTTTTTTTACTTTAGTAAATAATCATAAAATGATATCTTGCACTTCCAGGAATAGATGATGCCAGAGAGCATAACCTATACTTTTTTTAATTTTAGTAAGAAAAAGAGGATCTCTGATGACAGCCCTGGAAACTCCATCAAAGGGCCAGGAATCAAGGGAATTTGCCTTCTTGCTTTCTCTTGCCCTCTCACAAGAGAGAAAGGGGAGAGCTTTCTAGAGTAGAAGAGGGAAAAAGATGAGAAGCAAGTTACGAAATCATCAATGGGCAAGGAGAAGAATGCTTGCTCAATTCTACACAGACTAGAGAGTAAAGGCTCTGAGAGGAGGTGCCCTTAGTCCCAAATGGGGTGAACGCTGGAGACCATGCTGTCTTGGTGCCCAAGCGCCACAGCCTTTACTTTTCTCTGGAACCATCTCCCAGGAAAAGCTGCATTTTGGCAGTTTGTTTGCAAAATATCCAGCACATGTGTTTCAAGATCTAACTAGCATTCTTCTCTAAAACCATTTATAAATTAAATGTTACATTAACAAACCAACTAAAGAGTTACACTGATTCAAGAAGGCTTATTAGAGATGAGTTAAAATGCCCTCTATTGTCACAATGTAAATGCCGTGCAGAGGGTTTCCCACAGTTGCCCTACAATTACCTGCTGTATTTCTTAGAAACAAATTAATTGCCCAAGAAATTAAATCTGTTCACAGCAGTTACTTAAGTTGATCTATATTCTTTCCTTCCTTGATTTACCCTATTCAGTTTTCATCATCAAATACGTTTTCTTCAATGGATTTTAAACTCTTAAATGGCCCATTCCCTTACAGAAGTAGATAAGGTAAATTGGATTTTTAATTAACTTTTAAAAAGTTCTTAATAAAGCAATAAAGTCATTACAAAAACATCATAAAATGATAGAAAAAGATATTCTCTAATCCAGCTACCCAAAGATAAGCACTCTTAACATATTAGTATATCACTTTTTGATGTTTTTATTTGCCTGTATATATTTATGATACATTATACTTGGTAACTCCCTTTTAGGAATGTCACAATACAAACTAGCGTACCGAGAAGTGCTGACATAGGAAATTTATTTACCTTTGTTTAACTAGCCTTTTCCAAACTCAATTGACTTGGAGTTCCCCTACCCCTCAGTTGACATCTGATCCTTAGCCACACTTCAGAAAATACTGTTTTAATACTGGGCCAAAGTGACAGGAAACATATGTTAAATACTCATTGAAAACACCTTCCTTCATTTACTTAAGTCTTCCTACAGAGTCTCAGCAAAAACAACCATATAAACTATGAGCTGAGTTTATGGAGACAAAACTCTGATTGAATTATTCATGTGGCACCTAGTAAATTTGGTGTTGACTAGATATAGCATCCTCACAGGATCAATTTTCTTCCAAACTATGTGGCCCCTGTCATTTGAACAGGGAGGACTTCCAATGGTAGCAGAATTACCAGCCCTGGTAGGCTTTGGTATTTTTTTTGAGGACCCTGAACAAACCTGAGGGGGAGCCCTACATTTTAAGTTCCAAATCTGACTTACCTTTCTACATAGACCAGACTTGATTTGATTGTGGCATACTGGCTTCAAAGAATCATGTACAGGGTGGAGCAAAAGTAGGTTTATGGTTGTTTATATGGAAAAGAATATAATAATAAATAATAATACAAGAATAAACTGTTTTTTGCATACTCACAACTGTAAACCTAATTTTGCTTCACATTGTATATTAACTATGCTCTTTTGGAAATTTAATATATGTGACCATAAAGAACCAAAAATGGAGTTATAGCTTAACAAAGTAAATCTACAGAGCACTAATTTTAGAGGGATGAGTAGGGAACAAGTAACAGGCAGTAATAATTAAGTCAAGTACACACAATTTCTTATTTACACATGAACTGAATTTATATATGTTTGGTTCCAATACTGATATAGTTCAAGTATAATAAAAATAACATAATCATTTAAATCAGGATCCATTTTGGTAATTTTTCATATATACATACATATATAAAGATTATGACTACATATTATATACACATGTACTTTCTTATAAAATTGTCAGTTGAAATAAATGTAAATCACAAGGATTAAGTCCAGAGGGGTAAATTATGCAGAGAGTGTCTTGCTCAGTCTGTGTTAATCCTCCTCTTATTTTTAGTCCTGAGCATAAAGCAACCCTTTAATAAAATGCCAGGTTTCTTAAAAGTTTGCTTTTATTCTTAAGCTCAATCTTCAAATATTTCTATGCATCTGAAATTTAAACCTACTTTTTTAAGTTGAAATGCTCTTTTTTAAAAATGAAGCTTTTAAACTACTGAAAAAAAACAATTTTTCTTAAGATATTTCTAGTCAGAACGACAACCTGAAAACCCTGGTAGTAATTAAAAGTTGATTAATTTAAGAATAATTGATGTCAGTATATGTCAAAGTTCGTCTGCACTGGCGTTTGAGAGCATGCTTTTAGACTGCGAGTCCATCTCCTTTGATGCCGCTGTCTGCCCCAGTACTGGCAATGGCCCCAGCAGGGTGGGATTGTATTGTTTTTGTGGGGCATATTTTATATTGCTTCTGTGCCTCAATACTAAGCCTTACACCTTGTACCTTGCTACTGAGTGCAATGACTTTATCTCAGTGCTTTTAAAAAATATCACCTGACCCAGCACAGATTATCTTATCCCTGAACAATGTGAATGTTAAGTCATGTTCAAGGCAGGTACATGGCCACTTCTCTCACAAAGGAGTTAAAGAAGATGGCAATTCAGAAATTCCTTTGGGGGTGTATGTGAACTGTCATGAGTATTCTGCACTTCTAATATATGTTTTAAGTTTATTTTATTTATGTCTCCAAACATGGGGGGGGAATATTTCTCCATTTTGGATAACTTTTGAGCTTCCCTTTTAGCTCGATGGGTTTTTTGGAGGGGTGGGAGTGAGTCATGTAACTGGGGACAGAATGCAGGTAAAAATGAGGAAGAAACCCCTTGATGAAAATTTTGTTTGAAATATTTATAATATTAATTTACTTAGTAAATTTGTCGCAAAAATGTATGGTGCTGATATAAAAATTATGTTTGTCTTATGAAAATATCATGAGCTTTTTCTTAGGATGTTAGCTTTTCAAATTTGATGTTGTATATCATTGAAACAAAATGCCAATTTTCTAATGTCAAAAGCAGTAAAATCTCATATTTATCTTTCATGGATAACAATTGATGGGAAAAATAAAAAGAAGGCTGTGATTGCAAAATGACCTTAATAAAAGCAAAAAGTGGTTTCTGCATAAGGAAGAGTCCTTAAAACATGAGTTTTAGTTTGTAAAAGCACCTACTGGTTTATGAAAATATTCCAAAATTACCAGAGTAGATATCAGTACTGAATTTTTCCTACACATTGTTTTCCTACAGGGCTATCCTGGAACACAACTTTATAAATTCTTCAGTAACATAATATCTTAGATGTTATGTGTTAAATTATTTTCAAATAATTTGATGCTTTATAGCAACCAGAATTTGCATTTTAAAAGATGCATTGTATGAACCATTAGTACATTCATTTCACTTATTACATTTTTACCATTTAAGCCGCTGGGATAATTCACAAAGATATATAATTACCCACTCTTTTATTCTTCATTCTAATTAATGTTTTTAAACAAGGAATATTAAATTCAAAAGTTATTTACATGTCTTAAAACCCAAATTTGCCAGAACCACCGGTTTGTAACAACTCTTTTATTGAATTAACATATGTTTGCTACTTTTGCTTTGTAAATTCAATTTACATAATACATGATCTAAGGAAATATTTAGTACTATATTTATTTATATGCTCTCTAATTATGAATAATTTAAAATAATAAACAATAGAGTTCATATATTATGCATCCAGTGAGGGTTACCTAGGCCCTTATTCTTCTGTTATGAAAATATGTCACAGAAACAGCAATATAATTTCTTTTTCCCATCTTTCTTTTTCCTTTATTTTTTTTTCTTAATACATTGAGGTAAAGACTTTCCAAGTTTCTGGTGTTTTACGTAGAGTACTTGTTAGATTGTTAACTTGGTGAATTCCCATTTCAGATTTGTTCTTGCCTCGAGGCTTCAGTCTGATTGGATGTTGATGCTGTATTTTGCACATACTCATTTGACCGTGACAGTCACCATTGGGTTGCTTCTGATTCCAAAGGTATTTCTCTAACATTACTTTTCTCTTGCAAGACAGTTATCTCACATGAGCCTCAAATAGTTTCTCCTTTAAAAATAGCTCTCACTACAGGCAAAGGGAGGTGTGGAGATTTGCTTGACATCTGAAATGTTTTTAAAGCTCTCTCCTCAGGAAACTATCTCTCCTCTGTTTTCTTTTGGAATTTATCAACTATCTCACATAATTGATAAGTGATTTAATTTGTAGAAAACCCATCATTTTCAACCCTTTTCCAAGTATTTTGATATCCAGTTATGTTTTCATTATTATGGGTTCAAGGTAGCTTTCATTATAGCTATTACATCAAAATCACTTTTAAAAAGAAGTCTACTCTTCTATGAATTCTCTCATTTGGATTTGTATTCAGAGAAATATTGTTTTAAACATTCACATAATTTTGTTTAACTAGAAATAAGTAATTATACTATTATTCATAGAAGAGTCTTGCTTAATAATGATAGACTATGACAAAACTTATATAGGCAGCATAATGAATTAGGGAGAATGGGCCATGACTCAGAATACATGGACTCTGACTCATGCTTCATCCCAGCTAAGTGTATAATAGGACATTAGCCAAGACTTTTTATCTCTCTGAGTTTCAGATTCCTCATCTATGACGTGATAGCAATAAGGTTACCTGGAATGAAATAAAATGACATCAGAGAAAAAACAGGTTATACAAACTATAGCATTATCTTTATTTTTCTCTTTTATACAAAGAACAACAAAATAGTAGAACATGATATACCTGTTTAATATTTATTTTTCAATAGTAGTTGACATACAATATTATATTAGTTTCAGGTACACAACATACTGATTAGACATTTGTATACCTTATGAAAGGATCAATTTCTATCAGTGCCACAAATGACAACATTAGCATGGCTGAAACAGGAACCGGGATTTCTTCTCTTTCACCCCAGGCTTTATCACCACTCTCAGGCTTTACCAAACATTGCAGTGCAGCCTGATTGAAAAGGCCAAATTATTATAAACAGAGAAAATACCTATTTTTTCCTTACTTGAATTACACCAAATAGCCACAATTTTCATGGATTAGTCAGTTACTGTACCTTATCTTAACCACTTTTATACTTTCCATAATATGATGATGTTAGATGGATGTATACCAAACTATTTTATTCATTCATTCAATAAACTTATTGAGGTCCAAAGAAAATTGAAGGTATAGATTCATACAAAAATGTTTACAAGAACAATGACAGCAGCACTATTCATAATAGCCAAAATGTGGATATAATCCAAATTTCTATCAACTGATAAATGTATAAATAAGTGTGATATATCCATATGTGGAATATTATTCATCAATAAGAAGGAATCAAGCACTGATACATGCTACAATCTGTGCAAAACTTAAGAACATTATGCTGAGTCAAAGAAGCCAGATAAAGGCCACATATTATATGATTCCATTTATGTGAAATGTCTAGAACAGGCAACTCTATAGAAACAGAAAGCAGTCAAGTGGTTGTCTTGGGCTGGGGCACGGTGGGTGGGGAGGATGTGATTGCTTAATGAGCTCAAGGTTTCTTTGGGGGTTATGAAAATATTCTGCAAGTCAACCTTGTAAATATACTAAAAACATGGAATTGTATAATTTAAGTTGAGAATTTTATGGTATGTGAATTACATCTCAATAGCAGATCATTTAAAAATGTTTGAGGGGCTTTGCTGAGTGCTGTTCTAGATCCTAGAGTAAGAGTAATGAACAGATAAAGATCCGTGCTCTCTTGGTACTTATATTCTGGAGGACACAATAGAGAAACAAAAGATAAGTAATATAAATATTTGAAATAATATTTTAGATAGAGATAAACACAAAAGAAAATAATAAAGCAGAAAATGGACAATATCTGAAAAATACCTGGTTCTTAAACTTATTATAGTCTCTAAGACTTTGCTCAAGAAGAAACCTCCATTCTTATACATAAGGTCCAGGTGGTTAACTAGTAGTATGTGCGATTTTAGAGGACAGGGACTCAATTTTATTCTTCTTTATGGCCTTAAGTTAATGACACATGTTGAGACCACAAACGTAAGTACAACAGTGAAGGAAAGATTCATCAGTTTCTGTGGTTTCTCAGCCAGTGCCAATGACAAAACATTCATTGTTACTTAAGTAGAGAATTACCATTTCACATGGTATCTCATATGTATGCTCATGTGCCTACCTGAATATTTTAGTGAACATTGACATTAAAATATTTCTATCACCAATGGGTGATCTGTTAATTTTATAAAGGTATATTTGACCTGATGACAAGCTGAGAGAAGAGAATCCATGTTCTCTAAACTGTTCTCTCAATTTTCCTAGGACAATCACGTGGTCTATCTATTGTGTAAAGAGTTGCTGGGTGGTTTTGATTCTCCCCGCTTTCCATCATTTACCCAATCCACTCTTCCTCACTTCTCCTTTTGAAGAGTAGAGATAGCAAGAGTACGTGAAACTGAAAAATATCAAAACACCACATGAACATAATAAAAATATGTCAAAGAATAATGAGGGAGCAACAAGGATAATGAATTTAAAGAAAAAGTTATGTAACTTCAGTGAATTTTACTTAGATATCATCTGGCCCTGAGCTATTTAGGGTGAGAGGGCACTGCACTGGAGAGTTTCCATGACTTGTCTAAAATCTCACTGTGAATACCACTGAGACTGGAATTCAGATCTCCTGTTCCTAAGTCTTAAAAGTAGACTTTAAAAAACACTTTAAAATGTTTTTTAATTACAGTTGACATACAATATCATATTAGTTTCAGATTAGACATTTACATAACTTATGAGGTGATGCCCCTGATGAGTATAGTACCCACTTGGCATTGTACATAGTTACTACAATATTATTAATAGTATTGACTACATTCCTTGTGTTGTACTTTACATCCCCATGACCATTTTTATAACTGCCAATTTGTGCTTCTTAATTCCTTCACCTTTTGAAAGTAGACTTTTTTAAACCTATGTGTAGTCAACTGAAAGTCACATTCCTATGATCAGGACTAACAGTGCAGAGATGAAATGCAGCCTCCCCTATTGAAGCAAAATGATAAACTCGTGATAGGCCCCACTGCCCAAAAAAAATGTTCCCATCCAGCTTCCAGTGGCTCTAAATTGCTACCCACAGAGAGTATTTTTTTTGGGTTCTTGTACTTATTCTCATTCTCAAAGTGCAAATATTGTGGAAAGGAGTAATGTAAGCTGACACCAGGAGCCTAGAAACAAGTCAAAGAGGGAACCAAGCACCTCATCAGTGTGTAATGTGGAAAGCATAACATAAGTGTAGCAGCAATCATTTGTAAAAAGGTCAGTGAACAAATTCTTCTAAGCTGAGGAATTGATATTAACATTAGAAGCTTTAAAAATTATTATTAAAATTCTGTGTCTTATGGGGGTAATGTCTAGAGCTCATGTGTAATATCTATTGCAGTTTTCACATTCAAGCAATAATCCACGAGATGACATTGCTACAGAAGCATATGAGGATGAGCTAGACATGGGTCGGTCTGGATCCTACCTGAACAGCAGTATCAACTCAGCTTGGAGTGAGCACAGCTTGGATCCAGAGGACATTCGGGTAATACCAGTATTTCTCATATTTCAGATTGGTCCCATTTATATAGATAAGCATGTGTGGGTTAGTGTATATGTGTGCTCATGTGTGCATATGTGTATTAGAAAGAAAGAAAATTAGAGAATTTTTTACATAAAAAGTGAAGATATCAAATGCAGATTTAATCTTCTCCCAAGATGAATAATCATGGTATAAATTAGAATGCACAATCCAGTCTCGATAGTCTCAATGATGAACTTGGTAGCCACAATGATGAACTTGTTATACAGGTTCCATAATATGGTTTATGACATTTTGCTGATGGAAAGGTAAGGTAGATGTGTGAGCAGAGAGCCTGGATTACTTAGAGTAATCTGTGACAACATGTCAGCATTTGGAGGAAGAAAATGCTTTGAGTATTTGGTGGTCTGTTGTGCCCTGAACCTAATCTAAAATTAGGTGGAAGTTTATTAATGGCTACATGATGCTTCCAGTATTGTTCCATGGATACAGTTGATCAGTAGACAGTATGCTGTGTTTTATTATGGTCCAGGCTCCACCTGGCCCACACAACTTGAAAGTCCAAAGTGCTTGCTCCAAGAAGCAAGGCTAGAATGCAGGGTTCATGTCTTAAAGTTTGAAGTCTATGTGAAATAAAAAACAGAGTAATCAGATAGTAAGAATGAAGAGAAAGCTGATGAGGAGAAAAGTTAGGAAGACCTACAGAACAATTTCCTTAAAGAGCTCAAGCTTATTGAATTCACATGACCTTCAATGATATTATCTGGCTGAAACACTAAGTTCCACCCCTCTGTGAATTTGTTCTTGTTCTGGCAGGATGAGCTGAAGAAACTCTATGCTCAGTTGGAAATATATAAAAGGAAGAAGATGATCACAAATAACCCCCACCTACAGAAAAAGCGGTGCTCGAAAAAGGGGCTAGGTCGTTCAATTATGAGGCGTATAACTGAAATCCCAGAGACAGTCAGCAGACAGTGTTCCAAAGAGGACAAGGAAGTCACAGAGCACAGCACGGCCAAGAGCACTGCCCTCGTTAAGAAGAACCCTCAAGAGTCTTCAGGTAACACTGGGAAACCCAAGGAGGAGTCCCTGAAAAACAGAGTCTTCTCGCTGAAGAAATCCCACAGCACTTATGATCATGTAAGAGAACAAACGGAAGAGTCCAACAGTTTACCTACTGAGAGCCAAGAAGAGGAGGCTACTGAAAACTCCACACTGGAGTCTCTGTCAGGGACAAAACTAACACAAACGCTGAAAGAAAACAGCGAAGCTGAGTCCACAGAGTCTGTGCCTTTGGTGTGTAAGTCAGCAAGTGCTCACAATCTCAGCTCAGAGAAGAAGCCGGGCCACCCACGAACATCCATGTTACAGAAGTCTCTCAGTGTCATAGCAAGTGCCAAGGAGAAGACTCTTGGATTAGCAGGGAAAACCCAAACATCAGGTGTGGAAGAACGTGCTAAATCCCAGAAACCTCTGCCAAAAGATAAAGAGGCAAACAGAAAATACTCAAATTCAGATAACGCAGAGACTAAAGATTCTGTTCCTCAAAACCCCGGTCACTTGGAGGAGCCAGGAAAACCTCAGAAATCTGGAATTATGAAACAACAAAGGTCCAACCTCCCCGCTGCCAATTCTGACATGAGCCCAGGTACCGCCGAAATGAAGGACAACTTTGACATAGGGGAAGTGTGCCCTTGGGAGATTTATGACCTGACCCCTGGTCCTGTGCCTTCAGAATCAAAAGTTCAAAAGCACGTATCTATTGCAGCTTCTGAAATGGAGAAACACCCAACATTTTCCTTAAAGGAGAAATCTCATCACAAGCCTAAGGCAACTGAACTATGTCAGCAATCCAATCAGAAGAGCAGAGACAAGGTTGAAGTCTGCCCTTGGGAGAACCAAGGTCAGCCCCTTTTTGAAGATGAGAAGCTTTTGATATCCAAGACTCAGGCTCCCCCAGGGAGGGCAAAAGATGAGAATGGTGGTCAACATTATGCAGCCAATGTGTGTGCTGGGCAATATGAAGAACTGCCCCCCAAAGTTGTGGCATCAAAAGTAGAGAATGGAAATCTTAACCAAATAGGAGACCAGGAAAAAAAGACATCTTCCTATAATTCAAGTAATAACTTTCAGCAGTCTTTAACATCACGAGCTGAGGTGTGTCCTTGGGAGTTTGAGTCCCCAGATCAACCAAATGCTGAAAGTAATGTAGCTTTACCTGCCTCTTTGGCTTTAAATGCAAATCAGATAGCAGGGCCTAGAAAATAAGAGGTCTGGGATACCTTCAAAGTGCAGCATCCCCAGAATGAAAAGAAAGAAAACTTGAATTTGATGTAAGACAGAAGATATAAGGATCAAAAATTTCAAAGAGTATTTGCCAATCAGGGGAAATATGAAAGGCATGGAAAGGTAGAAGAAGACTAAGGAGGGTAGAGAAACATCATCACGGAGAAGTTAGACTGGCCAAAAAGTCTTTCCCCTGGTAACACTAGGAAAACCTTCACATTTCAGCGTGTATAGAGGAAGTTGCCCACAATGCCTGCCCCTGATCAGTATTTACCCACAGGACTTTGAAGATCCTCATCAAGGCAAGCCAGAAGACACAGAAAAGGTATGAGATTTGCAAAGAAGAAGGTATAAATGAAATTCTAAGTAGCTGACTGAAAAGAACTTACTCTACCTATATAACCTTGATAACACTGCTAACTTAATGCATCCCAAAAATATCTTTTATATTAATGATTTCTCTCATTTTTCTTATAAATGTATGTTTCAGTACATTGTTGTGTCTCATATTCAAGCATTCCAGATTGTATAATTTTTGCAAATAACTTTGATACTATGTGACAAACATTTATGCAATCTACAGCTACTCAATTGTTCTTGCAACTTACAGAATACCTGCTATCTATCAACTTTAGTTGATTCTTGAAGTACAGTAAGCTTTCTCTGGCTTGGGAAGTCATAATTGTTATGATAAAATCTCTTAGTTTTGGCTGTGATTTATATATTGCAAATTTAGAGTAACTATTATTTCACATCATGGTTTGTAATACTGTCTTAATCAGGGTTTTTAATACAAGTTAAGTTACTTGTTTTGCACTTCTCGTTAGGACTCAGAAGCTTTACTAATATTGGAGGTCAAGTGGTCCTACATAGTTTTATGTCTCAATAAGTTAAGGACAACTTATCTATTGTTTGAGATCAGAAATAGATAATGCCTTCATTTCAACTAATTGTCCCTTTCAACTCTTTCAGTATTTCATGCTTAGCAGCATTTCATAAGGAAGAAGCTAAGAATGAGAAGAATATACTGTGCATTAATATTATCACTGGAAAGGGAAGACACTAGGAATGACAGGAGAATATAGCAGTACTGTAAGCCAGGAAATTTGCCTTTCAAAACAGAGAGAAAGGGAGCTCCTGATAGCACTTTCAAGGTGTTATTTTTTTAAAGAGATAAATTATGATAGCATCAAGATTATTAAATGGTTGTATTTTTATTGTGCATACTAAATATATAATATTTTAAATGACCTTAAACTATTTATTCTAATAAACTCTTACTCATTGCTTCAGCTAGGGGTAGAACTTGCTGGGCTCAAATCCCAAAGAAACTTATAACCTGATTTATTCCAAGCCTTTAAGGTGGTGTGGGCTCATCCTTCTCCCAAGCACTAGAAAACTTACATGTCCTGCAAATTGTCATTGTCAGCCACCTAGCTCAAAATTTAAAGTGCAGAAGTTTATCTGCAAAGCAAAACAGCCCCCAAAGCATATTTTATAAAACTTTTTTCAGTCCACCCTCATCAGGTGGCATGAAAATCCTGAGCTTCTGACTTAGCCCTACTGATGTGACCACAGGAGGTTCCATTATAAAGCTCAGTCTCATGTATTTAAAGATGAGTCTCTTAAACACAGAACCCACCTCCCTTTCTCCAGTACTAAACACTGAAGTCTCAATGGCTTATTTGGCCAGGACATTTCCAGACTAAGTGACTTTTTCATTTGGATAAAAGATGAGAAAGAGAATTAGAAGGTGGATGCAGGGCTGTTCTTAGAGGATATCATTCTCGGTGGACGGTAAAAGCTAGGACTCCTTATTCATCATCACAATTTTCTCAACAGTTTTTATTGAGGAGTAAGTGAGCACTTCACCATTTTACAAAGCTGTGCACATATCACCCTAACCCATTTCCTCACTTTGTGCATTACTCAGGTTGGTGGGGTAGGTGTGAAGAGATAGATAGAAATTCTATTTTTTTGTGTGCTTCCTTCATTTATTTTTTTCTTCCCTTCCTTTTTAATCAAGGCCTATCTGCTTGGTAACTTAGAAATACAACTCTAAGGTGTATTACATACCAGTTTACAGACCCACCTACTTGTTTAATTTATGTCTGAGATCTGTTGGCACTGTATTCATTTTTTGAGACATAAGCAGTCAAGCATCAATGACTTTTTATTGCACTTCAGGTTAATCCTGCTTGAAGTGTGGCTTAAAGAAGACTTGCCAAATGATACCTTAGTCTATAGATTTTCCTCCACCAGCATAAATCAGTGAGAGTGCCTAGGTCTTTCCTAGAGTTTCATTGCCATTACTTATCACCAAGAGAAGTTTAAATCTACACTTCCTGAGGTTGTTTTCTCATACTGATGATACGAAAGTGAATGAGCACCAATGAGGTCGCAAACATTTCCTAGGTTGTCCTTCTCGATGCATGTGCAGGCTGCACCCTGTCCTTATTTTTAAGCCAGGGTTTATAACTAAGTAGATTTATACCAATTTAATAGAACTGTATATTTTATGCCAGAATTAAATGCTTTACGACATGACTTATAACTCAATCCCGTGTAAACTTTGGTGGCAATATGGACTTGAAACTCGACAGTTCTCTTGTATTTGCTTCATAGGTTTCTGCATGCAAGTGGTGACAGGTAGGACTGAAAAAACACTGCCTTTTGACTTTCTAGCATTTAGCAACCGAGAGTTGTAGAGTCAATAAAGCTGTAAGTCTCTTCACGTAATCTGTGGTTCTTCTGAAACTGTTCTCTGAAACCTACAGCATCCCACCATGAAATATTTGGTAAATTTATGTTGTGACATGTTGCAGCACGTAAATAATAATAACATCTCTGCAATAAAACATATTTATATGAAAGTGATTTGTGGTGGTCTGTGTGTTCATCTAACAAAAATTGACTTTACCTAACAGACTTTAGAAGGAACCCTGTATATCCTGGCTTTGGCATACTCATGCACATACATTCTCATGTTGCCTCTCTGTAGGAATATATGTCAGCCAAATACAGCCTCAGACATACAGGTGATGATTCAGAGCCAATAAAGCCTGTTAGGACCAGTGGCTTTAATTTAAGAAAGGTCTAGCCAAATGGGAACTAGCTCCGCTACCTTTTTTAATTTACTCAATACACATACCAGGCAGTCAGCTAAGCAATGATGGTAATCTTTCAATGAACAAGACATCCAATAATATTAGGCCCATGAGAGTACCCAGCCACTGCTGTGGTAATGCACAGGAGTTTCTGACTCAGTCCTGGAGTCAAGGAAGGCTTAATGGAGGGAGCTTAAAATTCACAGGGCTGCAGTTTGGCAGAGGCATCATCTGTGAGACAGAAAGAGTACAAGGTTACAGAGATAATTGTTCACAGCTTTGAATGCCATGCTTCAGGTTAACTACAGCCTTGTCCTGGTCTACTGGAAGCTATCAGAAAACTTTAAACAGGATGCGATCAAATCATGCATTAGAAGAATTATTTGGGGAGCAGCCCAGAAATGGACCCAAGTGGGAAGAGACTAGAGTCAGTAAGATCAGTCAGAAGACTAAGTACTGGAGTCAAGATAAGAGGGCATGAAAGCCAAAGGAGGAAAGGAAAAGATTATTGGTTATTTCACCAAAATAGCATCTTCAAATGAGTTCATTGTTATGTTATACTCATGTGAATTCAGAACAATTAGAGTAATTAGATAACTATATGACACGTAAATGTTCCTCCTAAGTTTATGGACATTTAGGATAATTTCAAAACATTTAGAAACCCTCGCTGAGGATTAATAGACCTCATATCATCTGCTCATGAAAAAGGCTGTGGAATGGCATACAAGTTTCATGCTGTGGGAAACCTGGAGACCACATGGGGCTAGGAAAGGAGCAGAGAGCTGCAATATGCACTTCAGTTCCTGCCTGCAAGAAGCAGCCCTGGGGGGAAGCTTCAGAGAAAGGCGGTGTGGCACTTGGACAGAGGAGGGCAGAGCTGGCTCTGCCTTACCTCCTCAATCATCTTCCTTAAAAGATTCCTAGTGAATGCTCTTTCTCTGTTTTTTCACAGCATCTTGTATTCCAGATTCAATAGACTCTTGGTACTTATGCATAAAATCAGTACTTTCAGCTCTTTGAGTGATCCTAAATGACTAAGACAAAAAGGGGGGGGAGCATTCACAAATCATGAAAATGAAGTTATTGTGCTTTCCTGTTTGTTGACCAAGATAGAGTTTTCCAGTGTTTGTTGGAATGGTTTAGTTGATGGCTATATTATTTTTAATATGTTTATGAATAAAGATAGACATCATTTCTTTGTTCTAAACTTAAGACCTTTATGTTAAAAAATACCCGAGAAGTTTTCTATCAGAAATTGACTTTATCACATAAAAAATAATCACACAAACCTATTGTTCTAAAACTAAGTAAGTTACTTAAGATCTTATTATATCAGCATATCCCTCTTGGATACTTATAATGTAAAGAATAATATCTTTCTAATTTTGGTCATTTTGTCTTTAAGCATTTGTTTGTTGGAAAGTACAGGCAAACTTCAAGCACATTGTATGTTCTGATTTGGTGTTAACTGGTTGGAAGGCAGATAATGAAATGTATAAATTGGTTTCTAATTTCCCTCTGTTTCTCTCTGATGTGAAAATAGTGCTTTGCCAGAAATGAAACTGTCTGATCAAGTGAAAATGGAAAATGAGAAAAAATATTGGAAAAGCTTTGTGCTGCACAATAGTCACATTTCTACAAAGAAATATAAATTAAATATGCAAATAAAAGGTCCGCGACAGTTGTTATAGAACACACTCCCATTTTAGTCCACACAGCAAAACAGAATGGGGCAGGGGAAGGCCCTCTTTTGAGCACACAAGAGAAAGATTTTCTAAAGAGATTTGTCTCCAAACACACCATGGGGTTGATTTTATTCCTCCGTGTCTTTTGCCCTACTGTTTGGTTTACGTGAAATTCTTTCCCTTCTTCTCCATGTTAATATCTTATGTATGCTTCATCACCAGAGTGTTCACACAATTTATTTTCCAGAAGAAACCTTTGAGAGTGGAAGTGCAGTATTACAATTGTGCCTGGATAACAGCACAGACTGGGCTGTCGCAGACAGCCTGAATGTTCGTTCACCCTGTTCGAGAGAAACGCCCCACTCCCTCAAGAAGCTTGTCCTAAGGCGCCAAGTCAGAATGAATTCCTCCTGCCTTGGGGCTTGCTTTAGGAATTTGTTTCAATCTGGTACTGCATTGACTAGCAATTTAGTTACATACTGTCTGAACAATCTGCTTAACTAATAGCTTCTCAAGGGCAAGGATTTTTTAATTCATCTACATATTCTCAATTTTAAGCAGTCTGATTTGCTCTGAGTCCAATCAATATTTGCCAAACTGAAGTTATTACTTAGAAATCACTGTCT